ATTTTATTGTTGTAACAGGCACACATGATTGTGAAAATGTTTTTTTATTAATACATGGAGATTAAAAACACTAATCATGATTGCTTAGATGAATAGGAAGTTATGTGAAAGTACATGTTAAAGTCGTGTAGCCATGTGCTTATTGAAATAGATCTGACATTACAGAGAGATGTATCCAGTCATGCTTGTATCATTGACCTCGAGGGAAGGCCGTTGTCTCCTCGTTCTATAAACCACTGGTATTCCTGTGATATGACAGTAATATTGCTGTCTGTAACATAATTGCAAAAGTATGCTATAGTATAGCAGAGATCTTGCTCTCTGCAGTGTAAAAGTATGCTATAGTATAGCTATAGTATAGCAGAGATCTTGCTGTCTGAAGTGTAAAAGTATGCTATAGTATAGCTATAGTATAGCAGAGATCTTGCTGTCTGCAGTGTAAAAGTATGCTATAGTATAGCTATAGTATGGCAGAGATCTTGCTGTCTGCAGTGTAAAAGTATACTATAGTATAGCTATAGTATAGCAGAGATCTTGCTGTCTGCAGTGTAAAAGTATGCTATAGTATAGCTATAGTATAGCAGAGATCTTGCTGTCTGAAGTGTAAAAGTATGCTATAGTATAGCTATAGTATAGCAGAGATCTTGCTGTCTGCAGTGTAAAAGTATGCTATAGTATGGCAGAGATCTTGCTGTCTGCAGTGTAAAAGTATACTATAGTATAGCTATAGTAGAGCAGAGATCTTGCTCTCTGCAGTGTAAAAGTATGCTACAGTATAGCTATAGTATAGCAGAGATCTTGCTGTCTGCAGTATAAGTATGGATGCCATGGGCCTTCCAGGTAAAGTTGTAATATTGCCCTCAGCATTAAAAAGTTATTCCAGACCAAGACTATGACTTCAGTGTAGTTTAATGTTGCTGACTATAAAGTATAACGTCCTCCTCTGGCCTTCAGTGATATATCGAGATATGTTCCTGGACTAGCTACACTGATTAGACCAATCAACCTTTATTTCAATTGCCTTATGTGGTATTATACAATATATGCATACTCATTTCATTTTTATATACATGTATAATCATTGGTAGTGTTTGAGACACGAGAATTGTGTACATGTACGGTAACGCAATAATGTAGTGTGTAGAGCTGAGAAACTATATTCAAAAGTAATGTATTGTTGAGATTATGTTTGAATGTATTGACTTTGGAGCCAGAAAGACATAAATTACACAATGACATTTTTAAAATAAATTCTTTGAATTACGATTCCTTGTTGGTTTGTTTTCATCGTAATATCACTCTGTAGATTCTGGGGGCCACGGGTGGCCCAGTCGTCTAAGGAGCTGCGATTCGCTGTGCAGAGTTGCGTCCTTTGGGCACCCCAAACCTATGATTGTGGGTTCGAATCCCGGTTCGCCCCAATTATGTTTCTAGGTTTGTCAGCACCATACCCGTGCTCATTGGTTTCACCGAAGTGGTAAACGTCTGAAACCTGCATCACTTCGGGCTTTCCTCCCAAATTAAGCTGACATGCCGTGATATAACTGGAAAACTGTTAAAAGCGGCGTTAAACCAAACTCACTCACTCACTGTAGACAGCTTCTGTAGTAGTTTACTGATTCTGGGGATTCCTCTTCAGTAGCAGCATCTGGGGGTAGACTTGGTCTTCAGCCTCCTATGCTTGTCGTTAGAGGCGACTAAGAGGATCGGGTGATCATGATGTCAATCACTGGATTGTCTGATCCAGACTTGATTATTGAAAGACCACTGTCATATAGCTGGAATATTGCCATGTGGTGTTAAACAACAAACCAACAAAATACACTCTCAAATATTTTTGTGTGAAGTCTCCCACCTGAAATTTATTACCAAACTTGCTGTCAATGTAGAAATGAAGTAAGATCAGTATTTAAATTGCCAAATGGGCGGGTCTGTTAAAGAAGTGCTTCTGAATAAATATTTTCTTAGGTGGTAATGCGGTCATCAGCAAAACTATCGCTGTTGGACCAGTCGGAATGAGTGAGTGAGTTGGGTTTAATGTCGCTTTTAACAGTATTCCAGTTATATCACGGCGTGTCAGCTTAATGTGGGAGGAAAGCCCAAAGTGATTAGGTCTCAGACGTTTACCACTTCGGTGAAACCAATGAGCAAGAAGGTGCTGAGTAACCTAGAAACATAATTGGGGCGAACAGGGATTCAAACCCAAAATCATAGGTTTCTGGCATGCCCAAAGGACACAACTCTGCACAGCGAATTGCTGCGCCTTAGACGACTGAGCCACCCGTGCCCCCAATCAGAATGAAGAATTCTACAATGTCATGGATATGATGGAAGAGTGTTTCACGGACCATTTTCTCTTCGTTGTCCAAGGAAGCTTAAATTGAGGCATTCCATCCAGCTCTGCCCAGATTAGACACCTTTAAGGCTGGCCAGTACACATTATACTTCTAGCATACTGCTGTTGTGTAAAGCAACATCTACACATTCATGACATGATTCCAAACTGCTGAGAACATGAAATGATCTTGTGAACCAAAACAAACAATGGTCTATCTTCAGTTTATTGTCAAAAACAAAACCAACCATCTGAGCTTACATAATTTATCAACCACATAATACATGTTAAAAATACCATTTGGATTATCTCATTACAACCTCTAAGAATATCATATGTACATAATTGTTGGTTCTTGAAAGCAATAGTAAAATAACAATCATATACATTAAACAACATCAAAATATCAATAATGATATGTCGGTACAGGACATGTCAAGTGGATGTTCTAAAATTGGATCAAAACCTGACATGGTTAGCAAGACTCAATGACAACTACAATGCTAAGTAAGGATAACATATATATGGATGACGTCGCTCACAACAGTGATAAAGAAATTTTTCATCCATATATCTTATCCATACGCCAGCTTCTAGTTGCCTCTCAAAGAATCTACAATGTTACCATTCTAGTTGAAATCAAAACAGTCATTGTGTGTACCAGTGGAGAGCAAATGAGCTTAATGTCGCTTGAACATGTATTTCTGTGATGTCACCACGTCAGCTTAATGTCGCTTGAACATGTATTTCCGTGATGTCACCACATCAGCTTAATGTCGCTTGAACATGTATTTCCGTGATGTCAGCTTAATGTCGCTTGAACATGTATTTCCGTGATGTCACCACGTCAGCTTAATGTCGCTTGAACATGTATTTCCGTGATGTCACCACGTCAGCTTAATGTCGCTTGAACATGTATTTCTGTGATGTCACAGCATCAGCTTAATGTCGCTTGAACATGTATTTCTGTGATGTCACCACGTCAGCTTAATGTCGCTTGAACATGTATTTCCGTGATGTCACCACGTCAGCTTAATGTCGCTTGAACATGTATTTCCGTGATGTCACCACGTCAGCTTAATGTCGCTTGAACATGTATTTCCGTGATGTCACAGCGTCAGCTTAATGTCGCTTGAACATGTATTTCCGGATGTCACAGCGTCAGCTTAATGTCGCTTGAACATGTATTTCCGTGATGTCACAGCGTCAGCTTAATGTCGCTTGAACATGTATTTCCGTGATGTCACAGCGTCAGCTTAATGTCGCTTGAACATGTATTTCCGTGATGTCACCACGTCAGCTTAATGTCGCTTGAACATGTATTTCTGTGATGTCACCACGTCAGCTTAATGTCGCTTGAACATGTATTTCCGTGATGTCACAGCGTCAGCTTAATGTCGCTTGAACATGTATTGCCGTGATGTCACAGCATCAGCTTAAAGTCGCTTGAACATGTATTTCCGTGATGTCACAGCGTCAGCTTAATGTTGCTTGAACATGTATTTCCGTGATGTCACAGCGTCAGCTTAATGTCGCTTGAACATGTATTTCCGTGATGTCACCACGTCAGCTTAATGTCGCTTGAACATGTATTTCTGTGATGTCACAGCGTCAGCTTAATATCGCTTGAACATGTATTTCAGTGATGTCACCACGTCAGCTTAATGTCGCTTGAACATGTATTTAAGTGATGTCACCACGTCAGCTTAAAGTGGGAGGAATTCCCAAAGTGATGCAGGTCCTGGGCATTTACTATTTTAGTGAAACCAACGAGCAGGGGTATGGTGCTGACAAATATAAAATCAAATCAGGGAGCCTCTTGGATTCAAACCCAAATTTTGGAGAGTTGCATCCCTCAGGAATCCCTAACCCAGGTCTTAAACGGGGTACAACAGCAGAGAGGTGAAGACCTGTTCTAACCCAGGTCTCCTTGGGCTGCAACAGCATATATCTGAGGACCTATTCTAACTCAGGTCTCCTTGGGCTGCAACAACATATATCTGAGGACCTATTCTAACCCACGTCTCCTTGGGCTGCAACAACATATACCTGAGGACCTATTCTAACCCAGGTCTCCTTGGGCTGCAACAACATATATCTGAGGACCTATTCTAACCCAGGTCTCCTTGGGCTGCAACAGCATATATCTGAGGACCTATTCTAACCCAGGTCTCCTTGGGCTACAACAGCATATATCTGAGGACCTATTCTAACCCAGGTCTCCTTCGGCTGCAGCAAAATATATCTGAGGACCTATTCTAACGCAGGTCTCCTTGGGCTACAACAGCATATATCTGAGGACCTATTCTAACCCAGGTCTCCTTGGGCTGCAACAACATATATCTGAGGACCTATTCTAACCCAGGTCTCCTTGGGCTGCAACAACATATATCTGAGGACCTATTCTAACCCACGTCTCCTTGGGCTGCAACAACATATACCTGAGGACCTATTCTAACCCAGGTCTCCTTGGGCTGCAACAACATATATCTGAGGACCTATTCTAACCCAGGTCTCCTTGGGCTGCAACAGCATATATCTGAGGACCTATTCTAACCCAGGTCTCCTTGGGCTACAACATATATCTGGGGACCTATTCTAACCCAGGTCTCCTTGGGCTGCAGCAAAATATATCTGAGGACCTATTCTAACGCAGGTCTCCTTGGGCTACAACAGCATATATCTGAGGACCTATTCTAACCCAGGTCTCCTTGGGCTGCAACAACATATATCTGAGGACCTATTCTAACCCAGGTCTCCTTGGGCTGCAACAGCATATATCTGAGGACCTATTCTAACCCAGGTCTCCTTGGGCTGCAACAACCCAGGTCTCCTTGGGCTGCAACAGCATATATCTGAGGACCTATTCTAACCCAGGTCTCCTTGGGCTGCAACAGCATATATCTGAGGACCTATTCTAACCCAGGTCTCCTTGGGCTCCAACAGCATATATCTGAGGACCTATTCTAACCCAGGTCTCCTTGGGCTGCAACAACATATATCTGAGGACCTATTCTAACCCAGGTCTCCTTGGGCTGCAACAACCCAGGTCTCCTTTGGCTGCAACAACATATATCTGAGGACATATTCTAACCCAGGTCTCCTTGGGCTGCAACAGCATATATCCGAGGACCTATTCTAACCCAGGTCTCCTTGGGCTACAACAACATATATCTGAGGACCTATTCTAACACAGGTCTCCTTGGGCTACAACAGCATATATCTGAGGACCTATTCTAACCCATGTCTCCTTGGGCTGCAACAACAGAGAGATAAAGGCCAATTCTAACACAGGTCTCCTTGGGCTGCAACAACATATATCTGAGGACCTATTCTAACCCAGGTCTCCTTGGGCTACAACAGCATATATCTGAGGACCTATTCTAACCCAGGTCTCCTTGGGCTACAACATATATCTGGGGACCTATTCTTACCCAGGTCTCCTTGGGCTGCAACAGCATATATCTGAGGACCTATTCTAACGCAGGTCTCCTTGGGCTACAACAGCATATATCTGAGGACCTATTCTAACCCAGGTCTCCTTGGGCTGCAACAACATATATCTGAGGACCTATTCTAACCCAGGTCTCCTTGGGCTACAACATATATCTGGGGACCTATTCTAACCCAGGTCTCCTTGGGCTGCAGCAAAATATATCTGAGGACCTATTCTAACGCAGGTCTCCTTGGGCTACAACAGCATATATCTGAGGACCTATTCTAACCCAGGTCTCCTTGGGCTGCAACAACAAATATCTGAGGATCTTTTCTAACCCAGGTCTCCTTGGGCTGCAACAACATATATCTGAGGACCTATTCTAACCCAGGTCTCCTTGGGCTGCAACAACATATATCTGAGGACCTATACTAACCCAGGTCTCCTTGGGCTGCAACAACATATATCTGAGGATCTATTCTAACCCAGGTCTCCTTGGGCTGCAACAACATATATCTGAGGACCTATTCTAACCCAGGTCTCCTTGGGCTGCAACAACATATATCTGAGGACCTATTCTAACCCAGGTCTCCTTGGGCTGCAACAGCATATATCTGAGGACCTATTCTAACCCAGGTCTCCTTGGGCTGCAACAGCATATATCCGAGGACCTATTCTAACCCAGGTCTCCTTGGGCTACAACAACATATATCTGAGGACCTATTCTAACACAGGTCTCCTTGGGCTACAACAGCATATATCTGAGGACCTATTCTAACCCATGTCTCCTTGGGCTGCAACAACAGAGAGATAAAGGCCAATTCTAACACAGGTCTCCTTAGGCTGCAACAACATATATCTGAGGACCTATTCTAACCCAGGTCTCCTTGGGCTACAACAGCAATTATCTGTGGACCTATTCTAACCCAGGTCTCCTTGGGCTACAACATATATCTGGGGACCTATTCTTACCCAGGTCTCCTTGGGCTGCAACAGCATATATCTGAGGACCTATTCTAACGCAGGTCTCCTTGGGCTACAACAGCATATATCTGAGGACCTATTCTAACCCAGGTCTCCTTGGGCTGCAACAACAGAGAGATAAAGGCCAATTCTAACACAGGTCTCCTTGGGCTGCAACAACATATATCTGAGGACCTATTCTAACCCAGGTCTCCTTGGGCTACAACAGCATATATCTGGGGACCTATTCTAACCCAGGTCTCCTTGGGCTACAACATATATCTGGGGACCTATTCTTACCCAGGTCTCCTTGGGCTGCAACAGCATATATCTGAGGACCTATTCTAACGCAGGTCTCCTTGGGCTACAACAGCATATATCTGAGGACCTATTCTAACCCATGTCTCCTTGGGCTGCAACAACAGAGAGATAAAGGCCAATTCTAACACAGGTCTCCTTGGGCTGCAACAACATATATCTGAGGACCTATTCTAACCCAGGTCTCCTTGGGCTACAACATATATCTGGGGACCTATTCTAACCCAGGTCTCCTTGGGCTGCAGCAAAATATATCTGAGGACCTATTCTAACGCAGGTCTCCTTGGGCTACAACAGCATATATCTGAGGACCTATTCTAACCCAGGTCTCCTTGGGCTGCAACAACAAATATCTGAGGATCTTTTCTAACCCAGGTCTCCTTGGGCTGCAACAACATATATCTGAGGACCTATTCTAACACAGGTCTCCTTGGGCTACAACAGCATATATCTGAGGACCTATTCTAACCCAGGTCTCCTTGGGCTGCAACAACATATATCTGAGGACCTATTCTAACCCAGGTCTCCTTGGGCTGCAACAGCATATATCTGAGGACCTATTCTAACCCAGGTCTCCTTGGGCTGCAACAACCCAGGTCTCCTTGGGCTGCAACAGCATATATCTGAGGACCTATTCTAACCCAGGTCTCCTTGGGCTGCAACAGCATATATCTGAGGACCTATTCTAACCCAGGTCTCCTTGGGCTCCAACAGCATATATCTGAGGACCTATTCTAACCCAGGTCTCCTTGGGCTGCAACAACATATATCTGAGGACCTATTCTAACCCAGGTCTCCTTGGGCTGCAACAACCCAGGTCTCCTTTGGCTGCAACAACATATATCTGAGGACATATTCTAACCCAGGTCTCCTTGGGCTGCAACAGCATATATCCGAGGACCTATTCTAACCCAGGTCTCCTTGGGCTACAACAACATATATCTGAGGACCTATTCTAACACAGGTCTCCTTGGGCTACAACAGCATATATCTGAGGACCTATTCTAACCCATGTCTCCTTGGGCTGCAACAACAGAGAGATAAAGGCCAATTCTAACACAGGTCTCCTTGGGCTGCAACAACATATATCTGAGGACCTATTCTAACCCAGGTCTCCTTGGGCTACAACAGCATATATCTGAGGACCTATTCTAACCCAGGTCTCCTTGGGCTACAACATATATCTGGGGACCTATTCTTACCCAGGTCTCCTTGGGCTGCAACAGCATATATCTGAGGACCTATTCTAACGCAGGTCTCCTTGGGCTACAACAGCATATATCTGAGGACCTATTCTAACCCAGGTCTCCTTGGGCTGCAACAACATATATCTGAGGACCTATTCTAACCCAGGTCTCCTTGGGCTACAACATATATCTGGGGACCTATTCTAACCCAGGTCTCCTTGGGCTGCAGCAAAATATATCTGAGGACCTATTCTAACGCAGGTCTCCTTGGGCTACAACAGCATATATCTGAGGACCTATTCTAACCCAGGTCTCCTTGGGCTGCAACAACAAATATCTGAGGATCTTTTCTAACCCAGGTCTCCTTGGGCTGCAACAACATATATCTGAGGACCTATTCTAACCCAGGTCTCCTTGGGCTGCAACAACATATATCTGAGGACCTATACTAACCCAGGTCTCCTTGGGCTGCAACAACATATATCTGAGGATCTATTCTAACCCAGGTCTCCTTGGGCTGCAACAACATATATCTGAGGACCTATTCTAACCCAGGTCTCCTTGGGCTGCAACAACATATATCTGAGGACCTATTCTAACCCAGGTCTCCTTGGGCTGCAACAGCATATATCTGAGGACCTATTCTAACCCAGGTCTCCTTGGGCTGCAACAGCATATATCCGAGGACCTATTCTAACCCAGGTCTCCTTGGGCTACAACAACATATATCTGAGGACCTATTCTAACACAGGTCTCCTTGGGCTACAACAGCATATATCTGAGGACCTATTCTAACCCATGTCTCCTTGGGCTGCAACAACAGAGAGATAAAGGCCAATTCTAACACAGGTCTCCTTAGGCTGCAACAACATATATCTGAGGACCTATTCTAACCCAGGTCTCCTTGGGCTACAACAGCAATTATCTGTGGACCTATTCTAACCCAGGTCTCCTTGGGCTACAACATATATCTGGGGACCTATTCTTACCCAGGTCTCCTTGGGCTGCAACAGCATATATCTGAGGACCTATTCTAACGCAGGTCTCCTTGGGCTACAACAGCATATATCTGAGGACCTATTCTAACCCAGGTCTCCTTGGGCTGCAACAACAGAGAGATAAAGGCCAATTCTAACACAGGTCTCCTTGGGCTGCAACAACATATATCTGAGGACCTATTCTAACCCAGGTCTCCTTGGGCTACAACAGCATATATCTGGGGACCTATTCTAACCCAGGTCTCCTTGGGCTACAACATATATCTGGGGACCTATTCTTACCCAGGTCTCCTTGGGCTGCAACAGCATATATCTGAGGACCTATTCTAACGCAGGTCTCCTTGGGCTACAACAGCATATATCTGAGGACCTATTCTAACCCATGTCTCCTTGGGCTGCAACAACAGAGAGATAAAGGCCAATTCTAACACAGGTCTCCTTGGGCTGCAACAACATATATCTGAGGACCTATTCTAACCCAGGTCTCCTTGGGCTACAACATATATCTGGGGACCTATTCTAACCCAGGTCTCCTTGGGCTGCAGCAAAATATATCTGAGGACCTATTCTAACGCAGGTCTCCTTGGGCTACAACAGCATATATCTGAGGACCTATTCTAACCCAGGTCTCCTTGGGCTGCAACAACAAATATCTGAGGATCTTTTCTAACCCAGGTCTCCTTGGGCTGCAACAACATATATCTGAGGACCTATTCTAACACAGGTCTCCTTGGGCTACAACAGCATATATCTGAGGACCTATTCTAACCCATGTCTCCTTGGGCTGCAACAACAGAGAGATAAAGGCCAATTCTAACACAGGTCTCCTTGGGCTGCAACAACATATATCTGAGGACCTATTCTAACCCAGGTCTCCTTGGGCTACAACAGCATATATCTGAGGACCTATTCTAACCCAGGTCTCCTTGGGCTACAACATATATCTGGGGACCTATTCTTACCCAGGTCTCCTTGGGCTGCAACAGCATATATCTGAGGACCTATTCTAACGCAGGTCTCCTTGGGCTACAACAGCATATATCTGAGGACCTATTCTAACCCAGGTCTCCTTGGGCTGCAACAACATATATCTGAGGACCTATTCTAACCCAGGTCTCCTTGGGCTGCAACAACAGAGAGATAAAGGGCTATTCTAACCCAGGTCTCCTTGGGCTGCAACAGCATATATCTGAGGACCTATTCTAACCCAGGTCTCCTTGGGCTGCAACAGCATATATCTGGGGACCTATACTAACCCAGGTCTCCTTGGGCTACAACAGCATATATCTGAGGACCTATTCTAACACAGGTCTCCTTGGGCTGCAACAACATATATCTGAGGACCTATTCTAACCCAGGTCTCCTTGGGCTGCAACAACAGAGAGATAAAGGCCTATTCTAACCCAGGTCTCCTTGGGCTGCAACTGCATATATCTGAGGACCTATTCTAACCCATGTCTCCTTGGGCTGCAACAGCATATATCTGGGGACCTATACTAACCCAGGTCTCCTTGGGCTACAACAGCATATATCTGAGGACCTATTCTAACCCAGGTCTCCTTGGGCTACAACAACATATATCTGAGGACCTATTCTAACCCATGTCTCCTTGGGCTACAACAGCATATATCTGAGGACCTATTCTAACCCATGTCTCCTTGGGCTGCAACAACAGAGAGATAAAGGGCTATTCTAACCCAGGTCTCCTTGGGCTGCAACAACATATATCTGAGGACCTATTCTAACCCAGGTCTCCTTGGGCTGCAACAGCATATATCTGAGGACCTATTCTAACCCAGGTCTCCTTGGGCTGCAACAGCATATATCTGAGGACCTATACTAACCCAGGTCTCCTTGGGCCTCAACAACATATATCTGAGGACCTATTCTAACCCAGGTCTCCTTGGGCTACAACATATATCTGGGGACCTATTCTAACCCATGTCTCCTTGGGCTACAACAGCATATATCTGAGGACCTATTCTAACCCATGTCTCCTTGGGCTGCAACAACAGAGAGATAAAGGCCTATTCTAACACAGGTCTCCTTGGGCTACAACAACAAAGAGCTGAGGACCTACTCTTACCCTGGTCTATATATGAGTCTGTTTGTTTTGTTTGTTTGTTGTTTAACGTTGCACTCAGCAATATTCCAACTATATGACAGCGGTCTGTAAATAATTGAGTCTGGACCAGACAATCCAGTGATTGACAGCACAAGCATCAATCTATGCAATTGGGATACAATGACATTCATCAGCCAAGTCAACAAGTCTTTACAACTCAGTCCTGTTAGTTGCTTCTTACGACAAGCATGGGTTGTTGGAGACTAATTCTAACCCGAATCTTCAAGGGTTTATGAGAGTGTGTACGTGACAAGTGTTATAAGGCAGTGTATTTTATTGTTAAACAATGGTTGTCACAATCTAATCAAAATCAGATCTTAGTTCTCGCTACCGCTAATCAAAGATCTGAGGACATCCCAATACGGGTCACGTCAGACCGACCTTGCACGAACTTTGACCGACCAATGGAATGACCAATCAGAAGGCAGCTTTCCCGTAATTTACGGCACTAATTTCAAATTGACGACTACGCTTCGAAACGTATTTTGACAAATTCTCGATTACAAATTTGAAACCTGAACAAAAGAACATTCTGGAATGGCTAATAGATGGTCTAGATTGTATGGATTCAGTTGTTAAACCAGTAACTATCGTTTGGAGTTAAAAGTTTTCGAGGTTGCATGATTAGAAATCACATTCCGACTGTCACTTCATAATATGGTAAGCGACGCTCTGATTGGTCAGATGAAAGGTCATTCTGACGTGACCCCTAATGGGATGTCCTCCTTAGCGAGAACTAAGATCTGATTTTAATTACATTGTGGTTGTCACTGTATTACATTGTTTCTGTTGAGATTTGGTAGAAGCTCATTGCAATGTATTTGGTCAAAGATTAGTTGTCAGGAATGTAGTACTACTTTATTTAGATGCTTGTGTGACGTGTAATCTTCCTGAAGACTGAGATAAAGCATTATGGGAACATGTGGAATATTCTATGTTGTGATGGCACTGTGTGGAAAGTTCCAGCAGTTAGTGAGACTGTGTGGGGACATTTGTTGACAACTTTGGCAATGACCCACAAACAACAAGACCACCTGATCCACACTGACGTGTTGGGAAACAAGTCTCAGAGACAATGCCAAAGTATAGATTAGAGGCTGATTAAATGAGAATAGAAATCAAATATTGCTTAATATACATTAAATATACTTGGCACATCAAGTCCTGAAAACAAAGAAATAATAAAACACAATATATCCACAGGCAGTTGTTGCACAATATATCCACAGGCAGTTGTTGTACAATATAATATTATCAACAGACAGTTGTTGCACAATATATCCACAGGCAGTTGTTGTACAATATAATATTATCAACAGACAGTTGTTGCACAATATATTAACAGAAAGTTGTTGCACAATATATCCACAGGCAGTTGTTGCACAATATATCCACAGGCAGTTGTTGTACAATATAATATTATCAACAGACAGTTGTTGCACAATATATCAACAGACAGTTGTTGCACAATATATCAACAGTTGTTGCACAATATATATACAGACAGTTGTTGCACAATATATCCACAGTTGCACAATATATCCACAGGCAGTTGTTGCACAATATATCAACAGACAGTTGTTGCACAATATATCCACAGTTGCACAATATATCAACAGACAGTTGTTGCACAATATATCAAAAGACAGTTGTTGCACAATATATCAACAGTCAGTTGTTGAACAATATATATACAGACAATTGTTGCACAATATATCAACAACCTGTCATTACACACTAATTCTCCAGACAGCACACTATTTTTCCAGACAGCACATCATGACAACAGACTGTTGTTGCACAATACAACCAATTAGTTGGCATTCCACAAATAGTTTCAAGAACAATACATCAATAAACTGATGTAGTGTAACCATGGTAACACAGATTATGTTTAGAAATATAAGCATAAACTCTGCTTATAGAAATAACTCTCCAGGAAAATACCAGTACATATACAAAAGTATAATATATTTTTTTTAAATATGGTCTAAGTAGGGAGACTGCTTTTCACATTACTTTGAACTACTTTGAAATAATGTTCATCTGAATTTATGATGAAAGAAGTGTGAAACAACATACCTTTTAGATGTAATGTGGGATGGATAAACAAAGTATGTGACATTCGTGACCAACTCGTGTTATTCCGGGACAGGCCGAATAGCAACTCGTGCCCCCCTCTTGGCCATTTTTGCGACTGGGTTCCGTCTAAGCACAAACGGGCATAGCTAAAAGAATTGTCAACTCGTTGCGTAATGAGTCACGTATATTTCACCATATATAATATATATTCTAGATGCTGTTGACAACACATCGGGACTTACATTATGATACAGCATGGTTGAACACATTTAAATGTATCTCGGATATATTTTTAAATGCAAGACATATGTAAAATCAAACATTATTCCTGAGGGATTCTATGACCGAAGTGATTAAAGTCATATGCTCATTCTGATTGGTTTGTCGTATTTTCTCATATAACAATCATGGACAGGGGGACGAGTCTTCTTGCAGGTTACGGAAAGACGCGAGTGGTGACGAATGAGGTGTCTGCAGGCTATAGTAATGGCCATGACATTTGGCTGGTGGCAAGGGCAGATAATCATCCTGTAGTTAGGAGAAGTTCTATTTGTATATACACCTTGACGACTGGCTCTGTGAATTTTGTTTGAAGCTAATATGTGTTGATTGGCTGCTGACTTTATTACACTAGGCAGTCACATGACATATGTGATCACAGATGATGGCGGAATGTGGTGTATACAAACCTATGAAGTATTGATCATTATGACCTGATCATAAACATGGGGAACGTGTACAATCTTGCAGGAAACACTGTAAACAGCGTGCACCCTGTAATGATTGTTTTTTCATGTGTTTTTTTTAATGTCGCTCTCAGCAATATTCCCGCTACATGACGGCGGTCCGTATATAATCGAGTCGGGACCAGATAATCCAATGATCGATATCATGAGCATCGATCCACATAATTGGGATTGATGACATGCATCAACCAAGTCAGCATGCCTGACCACCTGATCCCGTTAGTGGCATCTTACGACAAGCATCGTCACCTTTTACGACAAACATGGGTCTACCCCCGATCTTCACGGGTCTTATATTTATGTCCAAAGCCATGCAGTGGCCAGTAGGGTACAACTGTGAATCACCCTACACAACAATGACCTCTTCAGCCACTCCTATATTGAAACACGAAACATATACACAAACATACCCTGATTGAGACATAAATCACAGTACACATCCAACACTGAAATATGTTAATAAATTTAAATTGTAAATAACAATCCACAACGAAATAACAAACAACCAATATTTGTTGCATAAAAACAAAAAAAAACATTTAAAAGAAAATTAATTGTTTTTATTTCTTAAACGACACATTGTTCTTGTCGTTCTTAACAAGCAAAAAACAAATAGTGTTGGATAAAGCTGATTGTTGGATTAATGAGTGTCAGATTAACGAGACTCGACTGTTTATGTGGTTGAATTGGATTTCATCCCTGGACACGAAGATGAGTCACTAAAACTTGGTAACAGGAGGTAAAAAACAATAACTGTTAAACGGAGGATTTTTAATGCTTCGATTGACAGGAATGGTGCTTGAAAAGTAAGAAAGAAAGGGAAATGTGTGTAAAACCTGTAACACTACCACCATTCCCAAATAATGCAACTGAAAATATATAAGGCTAACAATGTGTATATCAGTATGGTTTTGTCAACATTTTGTCAATACAGCAAGTATCCACATGATCTTTTTGAACAAAATGCAGTTTAAAATGCAATCCAAATACCATAAAGGGATTACAACTACAATGACTTAACAAACTAAAGAAGTTTGAAATATTTCCTACTTTTCACACAAACAATAGGTGAAAAACAATCATAGCCAAATACTTTCTTACACAATCATTTTTTCACATTACACATGATGGATTAATATAAATTTTTGTTAAAAATTCAAAGTAGGTGTTTGACAAAGTAAATAAAAAACTTCCAAATCACAAATTCTTTCACAACCTCATTTTGGGCATTTCATCCCCCAACAAATAATGAAGGAAATCCAGACTACATGACTGTCTGGGTCCTAGCCACCCCAGGTCAACTCAGCAGGGTCAACAACCCTACTCATATCTCAACACTGGGTTACAACCCCAGGGCACAAGGCCCGGGCAGCAGCAACCCCAGGGCACGAGGCCGGGGCTGCAGCAGCCCCAGGGCACAAGGCCCGGGCCGCAGCAACCCCAGGGCACAAGGCCGAGGCTACAGCAACCCGAGGGCACAAGGCCCGGGCTACAGCAACCCCAGGGCACGAGGCCCCTGCTGCAGCAACCCCAGGGCACGAGGCCCGGGCTGCAGCAACCCCAGGGCACAAGGCCCGGGCTGCAGCAACCCCAGGGCACAAGGCCGAGGCTACAGCAACCCCAGGGCACAAGGCCCGTGCTGCAGCAACCCCAGGGCACAAGACCGAGGCTACAGCAACCCCAGGGCACAAGGCCCCTGCTGCAGCAACCCCAGGGCACGAGGCCCGGGCTGCAGCAACCCCAGGGCACAAGGCCCGGGCTGCAGCAACCCCAGGGCACAAGGCCCGGGCTGCAGCAACCCCAGGGCACACGGCCCGGGATGCAGCAACCCCAGGGCACAAGGCCCGGGCTGCAGCAACCCCAGGGCACAAGGCCCGGGCTGCAGCAACCCCAGGGTACCAGGTTGTGGTTTCATCTCCCGCCAAAATCAATTCATTAACTCCCACAGGAGTCCAGCACAGCCCTTTTATTATTCCAATTGAATGTTTTTGACCCACCAGGAGAAAAGGGGCCTTATGGGCGCTGGGATACAATTGTGCTATGATGTCTTAAGATGTCAACTTACATCAGTGAAGATCGCCATATGTCATGTCTTGTTTCAAAGTAATAAATATGATTTGAAGCTTGTGAATTGTATTTTTGTGATCCGAAGATGCTGTCGTCTTACAATATAATGAAAAGTCAAAATGTGATTTTTCACCCCCAAGGTCCTTTATCTCATGGTTGGTCACATACATATTAAAGTATTTCTTTGTCATGTTGTTTGCGTAGAGGCACAAACTCAGCATTAATGAATCAAGACAAACAAGTTTCAAGTTGGAGGAGACTGGGCTGTTGTGTTGGTATTTAATGGGTCAGACAATAGTTTCAGTGGATTCTATCATTTTCGTAAACAGCCAAAAATATTTCCAGTGAATTCAAGGAGAGCATCGGGGATTTTTTGTCAGTGTTGTAGTCACCCAGTATCAGAAACCAATATAGTTTCATCCTCCAGAAAGCTATAAATTATATCTCCTTCATCTTCCCTGGACAACACTGAGAAGTGCAGTTGGTCCTAAGACAAATGGTAAAAATGTCATGTATTTTTTCTCAAATTTCATTTTTTTACATTAATTTTGTTTTGAAACAACTAAAATTATAAAAGGACTTGTATAACTTAAATATTTGAATGTGTATAACAAGAGCAACATATGGTTCATGGACCTATCGTCATGTTTCCGATACATATCAATATGTACTGTGTTCTGCAATATTTCACAATACAATTTTAACTGGCGATACTCATCTCTAGGAATCAATAAAAAAAATTCACAGAAGACAACAAAAATATTAATCAATCAAACAGCAGTGTTTAAGGCCAATATGTACATGTACAGCACCATCTTATTAAACAATGTTGTAGTTAGCCATGGTAGAATAGAGATGAACCGTATGTGTTTTCAATGTAGAGCTAGGTTACCTGGAGACTAAACCATGCTTAATTCAACATTTGAAACCTCACACTGTGTCTTTGAAAGGCATTTAGAAGTGATACACATAAGGAGGAGAATTTATGGATGTCAACTTCTTTATATGAGGAACATAACGTTTCGGAGTACATGCTTACTCCTTCATCATAAATCCTTTTCCTCCTGTGTTTGATTCCAAATTATATTTAGTGTGGTTAAGTCTACAGGTGACCTGGCTCTATATACAAAACACAGTAGGTTTATCTCCTAAATTGATGTTCACCACACTTATGGCATGGTCATGATGATGCCAACTGTCATGATAATGATAATAAGTTGACTGACAGACATAAACAATGTTCTATATTTGTCATGAGCATAATATTGCAAACATGGATCGCATTCCGAATGTACATTGTAAATAGGACAGCCATCGGGTGATTATATTTATTTTGAGCCAATCATATTAGATCGTCCATCTATAACCTTAGGGCCGGGGCACAGTCAAAGCTTTACTAATTGTTTTACTTGTGCTATTACATTCAAAGCACCTTCAAATGTTGAAACAGTGAGTGAGTATGGTTTTATGCCACTTTTAGCAATATTCCAGCAATATCACGGTGTGGGACACCAGAAATGGGCTTCATACATTGTACCCATGCCGGGAATCGAACCTGGGTCTTCGGCATGATGAGCAAATGCTTTAACCACTAGGCTACCTGACCGCCCCTGAAACCATGTGTCTGTGAGGACTAAATACACAAGTATTAGAGACGGACTATATACAAATTTCATCTGTTTAAGTAGCACATGGACACATATTGCCGATTAAGGTCACATTCTGCCCACATAGTTTGTCATACATTGTTTAACCACCTTTGACTAGTGTCACCAGTTATCCCCCCTTGATTGAGGCCATGGACCCATTGCACAAAGCAAACTGAGCTCTACGATCATCGTAAGTCTAAGTTAAAGTATGAGAGTTACGATCGCCTTAGATCAAGATTGTGGAATCACTTGTGGAATGGGGCCCTGGACTGATAGATATGGGTGCAAGATCTCGCCACATTTTCTGTTTTCCAGAGTGAATGTTTTTTAGCATATTGTGAGCGAAGATGTTTCTCCTACCCACCTATATTCCTGATAAAGAGCATAATGCATTCTTAGTAAAGTCCTTCTCATAAAGACTGGTTCCTGACAATATTTGCGTTGCAACCCCTTTATTGTGCAGCAATCTATTTTTAGCCGGCTAGGGATTGCCCTTCTGTTTCAAACAAGATATCCATCATTCAGTGTAGTAAATGATATATCAAGGCTTTTGTCTTCCCAGTAAAACAGAAATAAAAAAATTATTATAAACAAAATTGGAAATGTAATCTGACACATACAAATAACAGAGTAAAAAAGGTGACCAATGTATATCATGTATATATTAACTAATGTTACAGTCATTATATAACGTGGATGACAACTGTTACAATGATAACCAGAGTTTGCCACTAACGTGGCTATATCCCCCGCCCCTGTTGCAGAATTTATGACATAATTAAATCTAAACAAACCCTAACCTTTTTTAACCGAGGTGGAACTTGTCATGGAAATTGTCAAAAAAAGAAGAGTTTGGAACCTAAGTCCATCTTGTTGCCATAGAAACGTAAAAAATAAACATTTCAAAAATTTCTAACTAGCAAAAGGCACCAGTTCAGCATGTACCTGACAAACCTGCAAAGTTTGGTGAAAAAATATTGAACGGTTTATGCGTTGTGCTCCGGAAACAAACCCTACCCTAACAGAACCTAAGTCCATCTTGTTGCCATGGAAACATAAAAAATAAACATTTCTAAAATTTCTAACTAGCAAAAGGCACCAGTTCAGCATGTACCTGACAGACCTGCAAAGGTTCATGAAAAAATATTGAACGGTTTATGAGTTATGCTCCGGAAACGAACCCTACCCTAAGAGAACCTAAGTCCATCTTGTTGCCATGGAAACGTAGAAAATAAACATTTCTAAAATTTCTAACTAGCAAAAGGCACCAGTTCAGCATGTACCTGACAGACCTGCAAAGGTTCATGAAAAAATATTGAACGGTTTATGAGTTATGCTCCGGAAACGAACCCTACCCTAAGAGAACCTAAGTCCATCTTGTTGCCATGGAAACGTAGAAAATAAACATTTCTAAAATTTCTAACTAGCAAAAGGCACCAGTTAAGCATGTACTTGACAGACCTGCAAAGTTTCATGAAAAAATATTGAATGGTTTCTGAGTTATGCTCCAGAAACGAAACATGACGGATGGGCAGAACGAGCCCCTTTCTCTAGATAACAAGTTGGCGACGAGCTGAGGTGGCACTTGGCGACACTTGGTGACACTTGGTGACCTTTGGCGACACTTGGTGACACTTGGTGAAGAGCTAGGAACAGCTGACATCATTGTGCTGGAGACTCCACATACAATAAAGTCTTCAAGAATAATGTTGAACGTTCTGAAAATATCAAACAGGACCATCCATCAATAATCACACAGGTTAGTTTCAATACAATAGATTCGTACAAAATGTAAGGTATGCTACATCTTACACTCTACTGAAAACACATCCACATTTACATAATTAAAAACATACACACAAATTTAGAAACAATGATTTCTCAGTATCTTGCATTAATCTCTTATTTTCTCTCCATGTTGTGTCTCTTCATCATCTCCCATCCTCACACAAACCTCCCATCCCCACACAAACCTCCCATCCCCACACAAACCTCCCATCCCCACACAAACCTCCTGTCCCCAAACAAACCTCCCATCCCCACACAAACCTCCTGTCCCCACACAAACCTCCCATCCTCACACAAACCTCCCATCCTCACACAAACCTCCCATCCCCACACAAACCTCCCTTTCCCCCAAACAAACCTCCCATCCCCACACAAACCTCCCATCCCCACACAAACCTCCTGTCCCCACACAAACCTCCCATCCCCACACAAACCTCCCATCCCCACACAAACCTCCCATCCTCACACAAACCTCCCATCCCCCCACACAAACCTCCCATCCCCACACAAACCTCCCATCCCCACACAAAACTCCCATCCACACACAAACCTCCCATCCCCAAACAAACCTCCCATCCTCACACAAACCTCCCATCCCCACACAAACCTCCCATCCCCACACAAACCTCTCATCCCCACACAAACCTCCCTTTCCCCCAAACAAACCTCCCTACACAAACCTCCCATTCCCACACAAACCTCCTGTCCCCACACAAACCTCCCATCCCCACACAAACCTCCTGTCCCCACACAAACCTCCTGTCCCCAAACAAAACTCCCATCCCCACACAAACCTCCCATTCCCACACAAACCTCCCATCCCCACACAAACCTCCAAACCTCCCATCCTCACACAAACCTCCCATCCTCACACAAACCTCTCATCCCCACACAAACCTCCCTTCCTCACACAAACCTCCCATCCCCACACAAACCTCCCATCCCCAAACAAACCTCCCATCCCCACACAAACCTCCTGTCCCCACACAAACCTCCCATCCTCACACAAACCTCCCGTCCTCACACAAACCTCCCATCCCCACACAAACCTCCCTTCCTCACACAAACCTCCCATCCCCACTAAAACCTCCCATCCCCAAACATACCTCCCATCCCCAAACAAACCTCCCATCCCCACACAAACCTCCTGTCCCCACACAAACCTCCCATCCTCACACAAACCTCCCATCCCCACACAAACCTCCCATCCCCACACAAACCTCCCATCCTCACACAAACCTCCCATCCCCACACAAACCTCCCATCCCCACACAAACCTCCCATCCTCACACAAACCTCCCTTCCCCACACAAACCGCCCATCCCCACACAAACCTCCCATCCCCACACAAACCTCCCATCCCCACACAAACCTCCCATCCCCACACAAACCTCCCATCCCCACACAAACCTCCCATCCCCACACAAACCTCCCATCCTCACACAAACCTCCCATCCCCACACAAACCTCCCTTCCCCACACAAATCGCCCATCCCCATACCAACCTCCTATCCCCACACAAACCTCCCATGCCCACACAAACCTCGCCCATCCTATTTCAGCACCAAGCTCCTCACAGCGATAGCCCGTTCGCCAAACCTTCTATACTATCACTGCCACCAGTTAAATCTCCCCACTGTGATAGGTGGCCACAACCATGCTTGCAGTTGAACTCGCAACCGAAAGACTGTTATGTTTACAAACAAGTGACGACTGCCGTGACGTCAAATACACTTACTGCTGCTAGATTACTTTCTTAGTTTGCCTTTTTGAATTTCTATTTCATTAAAACTATCATGTGATTGGTATAGTATGAATGTAAATGAGACGTTGGATGATTTTCCGTCTACAATCTCGAACCAATCTGATTATACAAACAACAAAGTAAATTCATATGGAAAACATGATCAGTCGTAAACCTTTTCAAAATCAAATATGATGGCATTCCCAAAGACATAAACAAAAGTATAAACGTTACTACATTTGGGGTTAGAGGGAAAAATGCAAGATTCTTGTAATGGCCGCGCCCACACTGGTGGCAGCGACATTACTGAGAGTGTAACGAAGGTGTCACGCGCTGGGAAGGAGCTTGTTTCAGCACAAGGCAAGGGCACATAACTCTGACAACACTTCAGTGCCACATATAGGCAATGCTACGTTGTTTAAGTACTATGTTTACGCAATAATGGACTTTCATAAAATGGTATCTAACAAGAACAGGTGTGGTATTGCATTCATTACTCATGTTAAATATGTACTTAAGAGTAAAAAACAATTTTCTTATGTGTAACACCCATTTATTGTGCCCCTCGCACTGATATTGCTAGAATATTGCTAAAAGTGACATAAAACCCCACACTCCGTCGCAGTGGTGACTCAGCATAACACCACTGCCACAGGCTAATTTGCATATCACGTGACCGGACTTTTCTCTTGTTTGTAAACAAACGCGCTTTTTCAGAAATCAGTATAGAACGGACTAATGCAAGTATTTGGTATATGCTTTACATATTGTTTTGCATAATTCTATAGATATGCTACTACAACTGCGACAGTGAGTTGCATGACAATATATATTTATACATCAAAGTGACCGTATCGCTAGCTCTCCGTAGGGCTTCGATGACAGCACGTGGAGCCGTACAACCAATGTAAACAAAGGATAACTTCGCCAAAACAAGTAGATTTTCACGTATTAGGATACTATCTTAATGAACCATAACCATTCTTTGACATTTGTTTATGAAAATGTGTAGACTTGTCAAACATGAAACGGAACAAAAGCATATGCAATTTCTTGAATGGACTGTGAAAGATGTGACGAATCGTCACATGGCGCTGGCCTGTGGCAGAGGTACTATGCTGGCTGGCTGCCGGCCGCATGGGACTCTGGGTAGGAGAGTGGTAAAACCCAATTCAAACAGTTGCTCTTCTGAAAGAATTTAACTAATCAAACCCTAACCAATTGCTCATGAATATTTATAAATTATGCCCAAACATGGGCATTATTAACATTTTATGCATACGCATTAACATACTGGGTAGTGTCCTGACAGTGGTATTTATTTAAGAATTTCTTCAATCAATGGTAATCAAAAGCCTAGTTGTTAGTACACAGTTGCAAGGACACTTAAAAGGTCAAACAGCACCGCTCTTTCTATCTCGGACCTAGTCGGTATCCCAGCTCAAAAATCAACTTTGTTTCCGGGATGCATCAGCTGATTTTATATCTTCTTACCTTCCATTTTGGAGAAGGAAATTCAAGCACACTTGCACAGACATTTTGCATTATTTGTTTCGGGAATGTTCAGTTTGAGTGATCTGATCATGCAGTTGTGTTCATTCATGTAAGAAATGTGCTTCGAAAGGGCCACTGATGGCAAAGCCATGACACTTTTAACTACAGTAATATGAAATAAATCGGGTGATCATTACCTTCTTAGTGGTAAATCATGGATGAACTGAATCTTGACCCACAAGTAAACAGTGTCAGAAATAGTAGCCTGCCCACTTGCCAAATCCCAGTGACTCTTACATTGGGCTTGTAACATTTACATAAAGCTGGTCTGACTGTCTAGTTAAAAACTGTATCCAATACATATTTATTTCTATGAATCAAGTCAATCAGGGCGACATTTATTGTCAAAGTCTGTTGCAATTTTGTTTTCATTTCTTTGTAGATTATTGGAATACGCGAAATTGTAAACTTTTCCTATACACAGATAATGACTGGTATACATGTATATCATGTATTAGTGATGTGCGTGAACGTTTAAGAACTACCACAAACGTCAGACAGTACAGTACCAAGCAACCTATCAGCTTCAAGGTTGTCTAATGGTCTCACACTAATTCCATTCAGGTTAACACAAATATGTAGGCTGCAGTCATAGGGCAAGTAAAATATGATGACGGCTTGCTATATTTGTTATTAACAAGCCCGCCTGGCCAGTGAAGTTTTAAAAATAATTTATACACTGGTAGTAAAGGAAGAGTTCAGTGACTATGTCGGGTACATTTCTGATTTGATCAGGTTGCATTTTGTACACAGGAAAATACCTGGGGTACCAGTGTTAGAAATTGGCACCAGTCCTGTAGTCTTTGCCAATCTAGTTTCTACTGCTACCTTTGTTAAGTTGGTTGGTTGTTAAACGCCGCACTCAGCAATATTCTAGCTATATGACGGCGGTCCGTAAATAATCGAGCCTGGACAAGACAGTCCAGTGATTGATATCATAAGCATCGATCCACACAATTTGGATCGATGATATTCAACTACTAAGTCAGAGAGACTGACAACCCATCCTGTAAGTCACCCCTTATGACAAGCATGGGTTGCTGAAGACCTATTCTATCCCGGATCTTCACGGATCCTTTCCAAAGTACCCTGTATGACACCACCCCCTTCATCATGTTCAACTGAACTTACCCATAAATCTGAGAAAAACTTTAGGCTTGGATTTCCACTCGACACAAATGAAGTAGACCGGTATCCCTGCTGCAACGATCGCGAGACACAAGCCGAGTTCCAGCGGCTTCTGGTAGACAGACAGGCAGATCAGCACTGTAGACAACATCAGCTCCAGTATCGGCAAGATGATCGGCATCTGCAACAAAGACACTTGTGGATGTCAGTTGACATTGGTGGAATGTGGCTCTCTTCATTACTACTCAGTGTCGGTCACCACCAGGCCCAACGTGGTGTGAGGTATTTGAAGTCGCTATGGAAGTTTGGGGCAATGAAAGATCTTATTAGTAGGGCAAACTGAACTGGCTCAGCAATACATAACAGGCCCTGTAATATATGTCAGTGGACTCCTGATTTGCCACAATTTAATGTCTTGAATCTTGGAAGCAGACATGAATTCAGGGTTTTCTGTCTGGTGTCCAATCTGCACTTGATAAGTAGATAAGACACAAGTCAGGTCGTAAATGGCCTCGAATCGCCCTCTTTTGACTCTAAATTCCACTCACTGCCAGGAACAGCACTTGACATTTTACTCACGCTTCAGTCATTTGCTGCGACTTATAATCCAGAGCTCCAGATAACTTATTGAGCAATTGAGTTTTTACTCTGGGTTTTTTATCTTAATTGGGTTATTACATTTTTCATTGGGTAACCAATATTTTGTCACTCATCTATTCATCACTCTATTGGGTTTTTCACACAATTAGTGAACATTTAAAGATTTTAAAAAATTGAAATAATGTTTTAGATGAAATAACTGTTCTAAATATATAGGCTTGACTCAGAAAGTAAATTTGCTCATATTTGTGTTTCGGAAATTAGCTCCTTTGTACGCATGCTGGAAAAACTTCATTGGGTATTTACGCGTGCTGTTTTTATACATTTGGGTTTTTCATTTAATGCATGTGTTTCTGTATGCAAGATAATTGAAAGTAATTGGGTTGTTGATATTTAGGGGGGGTATTTTAAGCAAATACGCTGCTTATCTGTAGCTCTGTAATCACAACAAAAATACTTACAACGATCTCTACGCAGTGTTCGAAATACCTGCCTGCCCGACCGTCCGAGACGGTTTGATTTCAACTCGGGCTGCCAGATTTTCAAATCCCCCTGCCCGACGGTCGGGTTATATTTCATATGTAAAAATATTCTAAATATTTCCGGATGATAAGCATTATTTACATGATGTATTCTAGGATATTAAATACAAATCTAACCTAAAAAGTGTTTGCTATTTATTTTCTTGCATTACTTCATGTTCAACGAATTCGATTTAAAGTTTTAATTAAATTATCCTGAGAAACATATGATTATAGTGGGCAGGCAGGTTTTGGTCAGGGCTGGCAAGTATTTCAGCTAGCCAGTCCTGTGGTCTGGCTGAAATTTTTGGGAGTTTCATACCCTGCTCTACGGGCACATAATAGCCATGGAGCTACAGCACATCATTTCCTGGTGTCCCTGTGCAGGGCCTACCTCAACAATCGCCTCACTAACTATGGGCTAGGGCTGGCTAAAAAAATTGATAATCGAAATTATCATCGATTGGGAGAAATATTAACGATTATCAATATGGAGATTGTGTTATCAATAATATCTGACATAAACTATTGTGAGGAAATAAAGTTTAAATCTAACGAAAACGTCTTTTTATTGTCAATCGTGTCAATTGCCTAAGACGGAAAGCAACTGTTTTTGTTATGTCTTAATCGTCCACAAAGTAATCCCTGCATAAATGTGCCACCACAAACCAGTGACGTGAAATATGTTGATTTCTTTCGTACTTTTTCACAATTTCCTCAGTTACTTCTCCGATATTTATCGATAATTGATCGATATTTTGTTAACGATTATCGATGTCTATGATCTATATCGATGGCAGCCCTAAAACAGCTGTAAGCGCAAAAGGCTTTTGAACTAAACTTAGGATTGCAATACCTAGCAGATTGAGTGTCCGAGTATACAAATGTCATGGGGTGTTGTTCATGTTGTCAACCAATGGTTGTCCAATCTAGACTAGATTGCTTCCAGGCTGGCGTCTGATCTAGTTGCAAACCAACATATCTATGACTTTTATCATCTGACCTTTTCGACCTCGGAGGTGTTTGGGACAATTTGCACTTACCTTGATTGGCCTTTTGGCCATTGGTTTCTTCCAGCGCAGGTACAGTAGAACTATCAGGACAGAGGACACCATCATACACGTATAGAGGCTCATTGCATCAATCAGCCTAACAACAGACCCAGAGAATAAAATGGCCAGTGCTGGAATACTCTGAAATGTAACAGACATGGTTCTGTACTCCCCAGGGAGCTGAGATACAAATTGAATGTTCACTTATTCATTGACAGGGGAAATAATGTCTTGCCTATAGAGCACAAACCTCAGTGTTTTGAAATATTGACATTTTAAACAGATTAAGAGACATAATTCTTAAAGAATTTAAAAACATATTATTCATGAGTGAGTTAGAGAGTATGGTTTTACGCCGTATTTAGCAATATTCCAGTGATATCTAGGCAGGGGACACCAGAAATAGGCTTCACACATCGTACCTACGTCGGGATTCGAATATTATTCATGAAGTATTTAATAGGCATTTAGAAGTTGGAAGAACATGAATACATGAAACTGTTTTATGGATAACAAATTTTATCCATGTAACGAAGCAACAGAGCTGCTTCTTGCCCTTCATCAGGTGAATATTGAGATAGCATATAGAGTTACCAGTAAAGTATGAAACCCAGCAAAAATATCTTGTTTCCAAGTTCAAACCAGCCCCATCACCCATCCTCATCAGCATCCCAGACCAAGGCCCCTCCAGCCTCCAGATCGGCATAGACTGAGAGTCACCTCCAACAGGACCCCAAGACACATCTTTCAGTAAAGGGCCCACCCAGTCAGCATAGACTGAGAGTCACCTCCAACAAGACCCCAAGACACATCTTTCAGTAAAGGGCCCACCCAGTCAGCATAGACTGAGAGTCACCTCCAACAAGACCCCAAGACACATCTTTCAGTAAAGGGCCCACCCAGTCAGCATAGACTGAGAGTCACCTCCAACAAGACCCCAAGACACATCTTTCAGTAAAGGGCCCACCCAGTCAGCATAGACTGAGAGTCACCTCCAACAAGACCCCAAGACACATCTTTCAGTAAAGGGCCCACCCAGTCAGCATAGACTGAGAGTCACCTCCAACAAGACCCCAAGACACATCTTTCAGTAGAGGGCCCACCCAGTCAGCATAGACTGAGAGTCACCTCCAACAAGACCCCAAGACACATCTTTCAGTAAAGGGCCCACCCAGTCAGCATAGACTGAGAGTCACTTCCAACAGGACCCCAAGACACATCTTTCAGTAAAGGGCCCACCCAGTCAGCATAGACTGACAGTCACCTCCAACAAGACCCCAAGACACATCTTTCAGTAAAGGGCCCACCCAGTCAGCATAGACTGAGAGTCACCTCCAACAAGACCCCAAGACACATCTTTCAGTAAAGGGCCCACCCAGTCAGCATAGACTGAGAGTCACTTCCAACAGGACCCCAAGACACATCTTTCAGTAAAGGGCCCACCCAGTCAGCATAGACTGAGAGTCACCTCCAACAAGACCCCAAGACACATCTTTCAGTAAAGGGCCCACCCAGTCAGCATAGACCGAGAGTCACCTCCAACAAGACCCCAAGACACATCTTTCAGTAAAGGGCCCACCCAGTCAGCATAGACTGAGAGTCACCTCCAACAAGACCCCAAGACACATCTTTCAGTAAAGGGCCCACCCAGTCAGCATAGACTGAGAGTCACCTCCAACAAGACCCCAAGACACATCTTTCAGTAGAGGGCCCACCCAGTCAGCATAGACTGAGAGTCACCTCCCACAAGACCCCAAGACACATCTTTCAGTAAAGGGCCCACCCAGTCAGCATAGACTGAGAGTCACCTCCAACAAGACCCCAAGAGACATCTTTCAGTAAAGGGCCCACCCAGTCAGCATAGACTGAGAGTCACCTCCAACAGGACCCCAAGACACATCTTTCAGTAAAGGGCCCACCCAGTCAGCATAGACTGAGAGTCACCTCCAACAAGACCCCAAGACACATCTTTCAGTAAAGGGCCCACCCAGTCAGCATAGACTGAGAGTCACCTCCAACAAGACCCCAAAACACATCTTTCAGTAAAGGGCCCACCCAGTCAGCATAGACTGAGAGTCACCTCCAACAGGACCCCAAGACACATCTTTCAGTAAAGGGCCCACCCAGTCAGCATAGACTGACAGTCACCTCCAACAAGACCCCAAGACACATCTTTCAGTAAAGGGCCCACCCAGTCAGCATAGACTGAGAGTCACCTCCAACAAGACCCCAAGACACATCTTTCAGTAAAGGGCCCACCCAGTCAGCATAGACTGAGAGTCACCTCCAACAAGACCCAAAGACACAAGTTTGATGCATGTTTCGTTTTTATTTCCATTTTCAAAAAAATCAAAAAATCCTAATACTTTAATGTAATACGATCCAATATAGCACACAGTTACTTCCCTTTACATGCGCACTGCTTTACTGCACATCTTGTGTTATGGTCACGGCGGCAATAGGAGTTTATATGCTGTTTATGTAGGGAGGCCCTTTCCCAGGTTTATGGTACGTAACTGTATATTTGGTGACATGCTAGTTTGAACAAGGTAAAAAAAAACACCACCCGCCCGCACTATATTTTGAAAAGTCATTGCATGAGAACCAATTTTTTTACTTGTTTAAGCCTAACAGAGACCAAGGCACCTACCTACCCAAGGTCACCAAACACAAATGGACACCTTGATTACCTTATTGTTAGTGTAACCATAGTCAGCTCCTTGTTATAACACTCAGTCCAATCACCACGCCTTCAGTATACGTACCGTACTCGACGTAATAAGCGCCCAGGGCGCTCTCAAAATAAGAAATAGGGGGCTCTTATAAGAATGTTATTTTGGTGGAAAAAAACAGAGTTGACAGATAAATTTTGTGGTTTATGCTGACAGCCTGAAATGTTTATGTACGACAGATATATTTTTCCAGAATTAAATGCCCATAATTAAGGGTGCATATAACACACGCGTGCGTATTATACACGAATAAATAAGTCTTGTGTACATTGATCAATCGGAAGGGATGCTAATTGGGATTGTTCACTAGCCAATATCTTAGCAAATGTCGCTGTGGGCGCTTATTAGAGCGGGGTGCTTATTACGTCGAATACGGTAATTGTTTTCTCTCCCGCTAATCTCATTTGCTCTTCACTATATTAGTATCGTTGTACATTCATCTGTGAAGATCCGGGGTAGAATAGGTCTTCAGCAACCCATATTTGCCGTAAAAGGTGACTATGCTAGTCGTAAAAGGCGACTAACGAGATCGGGTGGTCAGGCTCGCTGACTTGGTTGATACATTTCATCGTCCCAATTGTGTGAATCGCCGCTCATGATATTAATCACTGGATTGTCTGGTCCAGACTCGATTATATACAGACCGCCATCATACAGCTGGAATATTGCTGAGTGCAGCATTAAACAACAAACCAACCAACATTAATCCTACTTGTGTAAACATAGCATTATGTGTACATAGATCATGTATATCAACTCTATATACTTCCTCAGTATTCACCTGATGAAATGGCAAGAAGTAGCTCTGAAATGTCGTTCCAAAGAATAAAAGAACTTGCTATCCATAAAAAAGAGGCATGTATTCATATCATTTCATGTTCACTATCCTATCCTATTATTCAGGCATATGGACACAACTGTCTTGAATCTCTTAGTCTAATCTAATCCAATGGAATTTCAGACAAGAAACTTGAGTGAGTGATTTAGTGAGTATGGTTTAACGCCGCTTTAAGCAATATTCCAGCAATATCACGGCGGGCGACACCAGAAATGGACTTCACCCATGTCGGGAATCGAACCCGGGTCTTCGGCGTGACGACCGAAAGTTTTAACCACTAGGCTACCTGACCGCCCCGACAAGAAACTTGAACAGGAATCAAACCCTGCATCAGGCAGCTTTCAGCTCCCTAGCTACAGTCTGTTAAACATGGGAACTGTGACAGTCATAGCTGTAGTGATTTGGTTTATTATGGTGATACCGGATTCGCAGGGTGATTCAATATGTGTGCCCCGGTTAACTGATCCAAGGGACACAACTCTGTATACCTTATGAATAAACGCACATAGTGCAAAACTGTGACCAGAGATGGGCTCGTGTTGTCTCTCACTAGTTACTGAGATGAACAGTTTTTTGAATGAAGCTTGAATACTACAATACCAGTGACATGGCTTTGTAAGTGGAAATCTGGGTAGGTTCATTGACTTCGTCTTGCCGTAAAAGGTGACTATGCTTGTCGTAAAAGGTGACTATGCTTGTCATAAAAGGCGACTAACGTGATCGGGTGGTCAGACTCGCTGACTTGGTTAATGCATGTCATCAATCCCAATTGCGTGAATCGATGCTCATGATATCAATCACTGGACTGTCTGGTCCAGACTCTGTTATTTACAGACCGCCGTCATATACCTGGAATATTGCTGAGTGCGGCGTTAAACAACAAACCAACCAACCAACCAATCATTGACTTCGTCATACAACATGCAACTTGAAAACCACCACTTGCAAACTCACAACAAAGAACGTCGCTGGCCACGGTGTGAGGTACTTCCTGTTGATCATACCCATCAGGCCTGGCATATGGCCATTACACCCAGCTGCAAACACCATCCTGGAAACAGGAACACATAGCTGAAATACAACATCCAGCTGCAAACACCATGCTGGAAACATGAACACATAGCTGAAATACAACATCCAGCTGCAAAGACCATCCTGGAAACATGAACACATAGCTGAAATACAACACCCAGCTGCAAAAACAATACTGGAAACAGGAACACATAGCTGAAATACAACATCCAGCTGCAAACACCATCCTGGAAACAGGAACACATAGCTGAAATACAACACCCAGCTGCAAACACCCTCCTGGAAACATGAAAACATAGCTGAAATACAACATCCAGCTGCAAACACCATGCTGGAAACAGGAACACATAGCTGAAATACAACATCCAGCTGCAAAAACAATACTGGAAACATGAAAACATAGCTGAAATACAACATCCACATGATAATAATGCCTGCCTGATTGTAATAACTCAAGCAGCAAATGGATAAATATGCATTTATTTAAAATTAAAGCCGTGCATAATGTGATCATTAAAATTAAAACTACCGGAACAATATGTCAGTTGAAGCGTAAACACTATGTTGAATAAATTAATGTGATAGATAATAATCTAGGTTAGGTGTACAAAGGTTAAATCTACAGGTAACCTAGCTCTACATTTAACACATGATTGGTCCATCTCCTAAATGTACTGGGCAGCTGAGCTTGCCTCCAGCACGTAGGTTAGCCTACCTGGGTTGTCCGAGGATGAGGACATTGAGGGTGCTGACACAGGAAAGAGCCACCAGCACCGAGATGACCACGGATAGAGTTGGGTGCAGGTGATACCCAAATGTCTACAACAACAAACAAGTCAACTGCCATACTTATAAGGTATAATACATGGAGAACTATGTATTTGAAAGTCAGGGCTCGGGTGAACCAGTCACTCAACAACACCAATAGACTCGAGGAGCTATGGCTTAGGTAAAGGCAGATACTTTTAACGGCAACAGGATTAGGATCTCTGGTGTTGGCACACAGCGATACATACAACAGCAACAGCATTAGACTCGGGGAGCTATGGCTTAGATAAAGGCAGATACCTTTAACAGCAACAGGATTAGGATCTCTGATGTAGGCACACAGCGATACTTACAACAGCAACAGCATTAGACTCGAGGAGCTATGGCTTAGGTAAAGGCAGATACTTTTAACAGCAACAGGATTAGGATCTCTGGTGTTGGCACACTGCGATACTTACAACAGCAACAGCATTAGACTCGAGGAGCTATAGCTTAGGGAAAGGCAGATAATTTTAACGGCAACAGGATTAGGATCTCTGGTGTTGGCACACAGCGATACTTACAACAGCTACAGCATTAGACTTGAGAATCTCTGGCTTAGGTAAAGGCAGATAATTTTAACGGCAACAGGATTAGGATCTCTGGTGTTGGCACACAGCGATACTTACAACAGCAACAGCATTAGACTCGAGGAGCTATAGCTTAGGTAAAGGCAGATAATTTTAACGGCAACAGGATTAGGATCTCTGATGTAGGCACACAGCGATACTTACAACAGCAACAGCATTAGACTCGAGCATCTCTGGCATGGACAGCACCACACAGTAAGAGAAGTTTGTGACAGTGTACAGGATGATCACAGTTACAAAAGTCAGACTCAGGGATCTTGGCACATTTCTGCAATGAAAGGGACATGAAACTTAGAACAAACCAACTTTAGTCCAAGCAACTTGCTTCAGTGGCTCATGATCAAGCTGCCTCACCTGATTGGGTCCTTCACCTCTTCCATCAAGATGGTGATCACCTGCCTGCAACATCAGCACAAACTTTTCAATTATATTTCAAACAGATATTTAAATATTCAGGTACAGAACAGGGCTGTGATCAGTCCAAATTTACTACACAGGTACCCTACCCCATCTTCCCAGATAAAAAAGACATAAAAGTCCAGTTTCCACCCTTGCCGAACTTGGCTGGAATTTCTGGCTCGATCGTAGTGCCACCAGTGGCTATTATGAGTTATGTACCTTCTACATCCCTCCTATTCACTCATATCACTTGCATTTTCTTCAAACAAAATGGCGGCACCCAGTCAAGATGATCTGATCGATAATCAAGATCTTATATTGTAATAAAACAAGTAATGACAAGAGTTCTTTTTGTCGCTTGTATATCGTGTCCCAAGAAGATATTATCGTGATGTACTTGATGCACTCCTGAATTGGCTGCACAATATTGACAATGATGTGTTAGAATGTTAAAAAATTAACTTGTTCCTAGGTTTCTTCATTGAATGTATAGTGTAGAGGACTACTTCAGTTTAGGATATAATAACCAAGTGCTACCTCATAACCCTTGTTGTGGTTATTATTATTTTAAATATATATAGTAAAACCTGCAATTAAAATAACACCATATAAGGATACAATTTTTATAGTTTCAGATAATAGTTTTTCTGATCATTGCATCACAATATTTTTTTTATATTATTGGGTATGTTTTAACTTAATAACTGGTAGATTGGGAGAAAATGTGGGTACATCTTTTTGCTATTTCTGGCTTAGTTTACACAAGATAATCTTAATCCCAGCATATAAAACAATGCCTAGCATAAGAATTAATACATTAAAAATGGTAAATCATTACGTCTAGAGATGTTAAAGTTTACATTTTCATTGACAAAGTTTGTTATCTCTTGTTTGTTCATCTGAAGCGATGCGATGAAGTTTTTTTGCCAACAGCAAAATAATTTGATGAAAATGTCATACTGTTCCTTTGTATGGCTACACACTTGGCTGAGGAAAAGGTGGTAACATTTAGTTCTTGTGTATAATACGCACCCTAACTTTAAAGTCCAAAAAGTAAGAAAATGTGTATTAAACAGAAATATATACGGTAAGCAAAAGTGTTATGATGCAATCAGTGTTATGATGTCAGCAACAGTGTTCATTGACTCACCAACCTCCATATGAGAAGTAGCCAGACACGAGGCCGAGAGCAATGTTTCCCGGATCTGTGGTAGTTCCTTCCCAGAACAGAGGCAGTTGTTCCCTGTATCTCTCTGAAACATAAACTCACTGATGTTCATGATGCCAAGGGTTTAATACAGAGGATATAAATTCGGAAGTTTTTCAAGGACAAACTTTAGAGGAACCTTCAAGCAGACATTCACACATAAACTTCAAGCCCATGTTCCAGGACAACCTTCATACAGCGTTAGGGACATGAACTTCAGGTACCTTTCAAGGACAACCTTCATACAGCATTAGGGACATGAACTTCAGGTACCTTTCAAGGACAACCTTCATACAGACTTAGGGACATGAACTTCAGATACCTTTCAAGGACAACCTTCATACAGACTTAGGGACGTGAACTTCAGATACCTTTCAAGGACAACCTTCATGCAGATTTAGACACATGAACTTCAGGCACCTTTCAAGGACAACCTTCATACAGATTTAGGCACATGAACTTCAGGCACCTTTCAAGGACAACCTTCATACAGACTTAGGGACATGAACTTCAGGTACCTTTCAAGGACAACCTTTATACAGCATTAGGGACATGAACTTCAGTTACCTTTCAAGGACAACTTTCATACAGATTTAATCAGGGTTAGAAACTAACAGTTTTTGTCCACTAGTCCTTATAATGATAACATATAGCAAAACCCTTAAAATGGGCCAATTTCTACTAGTCCTTAGGATACCTTTACTTTTAGGCAGTTTAGTAAGGACTATAGGACTAGTGCCAATTTCTAACGCTGGATTTAAGGACATGGACATCAGGCACCTTTCAAGGACAACCTTCATGCAGATTTAGGAATATGAACTTCAGATACCTTTCAAGGACAACCTTCATACAGATTTAGGAACATGAACTTCAGGCACCTTTCAAGGACAACCTTCATACAGATTTAGGAACATGAACTTCAGGCACCTTTCAAGGACAACCTTCATACAGATTTAGGCACATGAACTTCAGATACCTTTCAAGGACAACCTTCATACAGATTTAAAGACATGAACTACAGATAACTTTCAAGGACAACCTTCATACAGATTTAAAGACATGAACTACAGATACCTTTCAAGGACAACCTTCATACAGATTTAAAGACATGAACTTCAGATACCTTTCAAGGACAACCTTCATACAGATTTAAAGACATGAACTTCAGATACCTTTCCAATCTCATTAAAATCAGATCTTAGTTCTCGCTGCCGCTAAACAAAGATCTGAGGACATCCCATTAGGGGTCACGTCAGAACGACCTTTCATCCGACCAATCCGAGTGTCCCTTACCAGATCATGAAAGCGACAGTCAGAATGTGATTTCTAATCATGCAACCTCGATTAACTGTAAAACGGGGTATTCCGAACGATAGTTACGGGCTAAACGACTAAATCTATACAATCTAGACCATATATTAGCCATTCGAGAATTTGTCAAAATATGTTTCGAAGTGTAGTCGCCAGTTTGAAATTAGTGCCGTAAAGAACGAGAAAGCTGCTTTCTGATGGGCTAATGTTGACTTCTTGTCAGTAATTCCATTGGTCGGGCGGAGTTTGCGAAAGGTCGGTCTGACGTGACCCATAATGGGATGTCCTCACATCTTTATTTAGTGGCAGCGAGAACTTAGATCTGATTTTAATGAGATTGGATACCTTTCAAGGACAACCTTCTTACAGATCTAAAGACATGAACTACAGATAACTTTCAAGGACAGCCTTCATACAGACTTAGGGATGTGAACTTCAGATACCTTTCAAGGACAACCTTCATACAGACTTAGGGACATGAACTTCAGATACCTTTCAAGGACAACCTTCATACAGATTTAGGCACATGAACTTCAGGCACCTTTCAAGGACAACCATCATACAGATTTGATATGACAATCTCTGTGGACATTCTGGTTAAGAATATAAGTCCTTGTCTCCCTGTGGAGATTCTGGGTAAGATTATAGGTCCTGAGTAACCTATACTTGACTACACTGGATTGCCTGGACCAGACTTGATTATTTACAGACCACTGTCACAGAGCTGGGATACTGCGGCAATACACAAACTAACATAAACATGACACACATCTGAGAGGAGTGACATTCACAGCAAGACTTACTGTCACAGAGCTGGGATATTGCGGCATTACACAAACTACTGTCACAGAGCTGGGATATTGCGGCACTACACAAACTACTGTCACAGAGCTGGGATATTGCGGCACTACACAAACTAACATGAACATGACCTTCATCTGAGAGGAGTGATATTCACAGCAAGACTTACTGTCGCTCAGCTTGTACATCCCCCCGATGATGATGATGAGCATGGCTATCACCTTTAATGAACTCAGGACGGACTGGAACTTGGTGACGACCTTCATGTAGAGGCAGTTCAGGAACATCAGAATCACTGAAACATGCAGGAAGACCCTTGAAACATATACAAGACAGTGCAGGCGTGATAGTCTGGCATACAGACCCTGAAACAAAAATATCCAATACAATGAAGAAAGTCTCAGGTTTCTTTTTATGATATTTAAAGATAATTAAACAACTGTTTATTTCTGTAAAACATGTTCATTTCAGAGACTAGATGGTAGTCAAAAAGCATTATTCCAGCTATATGACAGCGGTCTGTAAATAATCGAGTCTAGACCAGACAATCCAGTGATTGATATCATGAGCATCGATCCATGCAATTGGGAGCGATGACATGCATTTATGGAGGTATAAACATAGAAACTGGTGTTCAAACTGTGTTAATCTGCAATAGTGCAAAGTGCACACACTAGATTTTATGGTTATATCTCCATAAACATGATAAATGCAAATATATTGAAGTCAATTCTTATAAATTAACGTCCGAGACCTGTATCACTTGGGGCTTTCCTCCCACATTAAGCTGATATGCCATGATAAAACTGGAATACTGTTCAAAGCCGGATAAAACCCAACTCACTCATACGCAATAATAGCATAGACTTACCACAAGTGAATGCAAGTGTACCAATGTGGAGAAGAAAACACTTATTTCAAAACATGTGTGTGTTTAACTCTGCACTCTGCAATATTCTGGCTACATCATAATCAAGTCTGGACCAGACAAGCCAGTGATTGTTATTATGAGCAATGACCCATGAAGTTGGGAGTTTTGAAGACACAAAATCACCCAAGTCACTGAATCTGACCACCCAATGCATTTGGTCAAATTTACAACCAGCCGAGGTTGCTAGGGACTAGGGATGGGTATTGGATGTTTAAAGTGTATCCCAAAATTGTACAATCCACAAGTCCGTATTGTGAACATATCACAATATATAGCATAATTAAAAATTTTGAATTCAGAAGCAATTTGAAACATCAATGCAGAAGTTCAAAAACGGAACAAAACAAGATGCTGGAACAATAAATACGCAGGGTTGCACGTTCTGGGAAAGTGATGACTTGGTGTTACACCACTGCCACAGAAGGACTCCAGAATGAGAAGCCCGTGAAGACGCCGGGATAGAATAGGTCTTCAGCAACCCATGCTTGCCGTAAAAGGTGACTATACATGTCGTAAAAGGCGACTAACGGGATCGGGGGCCAGGCTCGCTGACTTGGTTGATGCATGTCATCGATCCCATTGCGTGGATCGATGCTCATGATATTATTCACTGGATTGTCTGGTCCAGACTCGATTATTTACAGACCGCTGTCATATAGCTGGGACATTGCTGAGTGCGGAGTTAAACAACAAACCAACCAACCAACCAACCAACCAACCAACCAACCAACCAGAATGAGAAAATTACGAAAACATTTCGAAGGTACATGTATTTGGCAAGTATATAACATTAAACACAAGAAAAGAATTGCTATTTGAAATCAACCCAATAAACCGAGGATTAAATCATGATATTGTGATATATATTGTGGAAAGAATAAACCTCAATTTACCGATATACCCTAATACCGCGCACCCTAAGAGACCAGTAACCTGGAATCACCATGGGGTTGAGAACATTTGTAGAAAGTATCACTTTTATTATTCGTCCACTGTCTGGCTTTCAAGGAGGATTCCATCTTGTGAGTCTTAGTCCACCAAAGATTTGACGCCTAGGAATTACGGATCTGGGCGAACATAGAAAATGAATTGTGTAAGACCCTAGCCTTAAGCACGTATTGCACCTTTTGCATTGTGAGTGAGTGAGTTTGGTTTGGTTTGGTTTGGTTGGATTACTCTTTTAGCTATAATCCAGCAATATTATGAAGAGGACACTAAAAATGGACTTCACACATTGTACCCATGTGGGGAATCGAACCCGGGCCTCGAAGTAATAGCAGGTTATTTTGTTTGTTACTCATTGTCCTTTTGAAGAAAGAAAATGAAGAAAAAAACAAGAAATGTCCATCCCCAGAGACACTAGTACTACCTGGGGAGTGGGGACCCGACCCCCTATTACCCTACCTGGGCACCTGCTATAGGTCTCAAGAGTTGGGTACAAAATGGCCGAATAGGAATTGTTTTACCACAGCCCTGGCAAAAACTATTTAGATACACGTATAAAACAATCTGATCACACACTGAAGTTGATAGATGCTTTATCCTTACTCGAACATATATAAGCTTGCGAAGTCAGAAAGATATGTGAATATCAGCAATACTTGTTGTGTAACCATGGAGTTTTATTGTTAATGTCGTTAGACAGTGTATCACGTGACTAACCACGGGTCCAGGTAGTTGTGTGGTTCCGATGTCCTACTGAGGACCCACCCGACCCGAGTACCCGAGTTACCCGAGTTACCCGTCCCTGCCCTAAGAGACACTGACTACACTGAAGTCAACCTGTTCAGATCACATAATCAGGAAAATGTTGTCAAGTTGGTTGTCAAAAACAATGGATGATGTTAATGTTCTTGACTGTGAAGCAATGGGACGTCATATCACCGCATAGCGCTTCAACTGACCAATCACCTTGATCTGCATGAAGAATCGCTAACATGTGCAAATATTGGTTAGTTATTACAATAAATGTATCAACAGTTATTGGTAATATTCTCAGCTGATATCAGCATCACACCAAATTTAAACTATTTATGAAGAATGCAAAGATATTGTGTATAGCTGCGTAATACCACTCAGAATATATATATATGTGTGATAATGGTTATTAGGAATGATAATGGAAAAAATATTCCACCTCATGGCTACATTCATATCAATACTTGAGTGTTAATACAACTGAGTATTCAACATGTTCAAAATATAGCTGAACACGAGATCTTTCATTTGCTTATTAAAATTGTAATAATGGGTTCAACATGTTCAATTCAATACAATAGTTACATGCATATCAGTGAGTGAGTGAGTGAGTGAGTGAGGTTTAACACCACTTTTAACAGTATTCCAGTTATATCGCAGCGTGTGAGCTTAATGTGGGAGGAAAGCCAGGAGGGATGCAGGTCTCAGACGTTTACCTCTTCGGTGAAACCAAAGAGCACGGGTACTGACAAACCTAGAAACATAATCGGGGCGAACCGGGATTCGAACCCACAATCATAGGTTTGTGGCATGCCCAAGGGACGCAACTCTGCACAGTGAATCGCGGTGCCTTAGACGACTGGGCAACCCATGCCCCATATGATATCAATAATGAAGTGTAAATACTAAAGCATAAAACATATAGCGAAACACTAAATCTTTCATTAGCTTATTTATTTCGTAATCAAATTTCCTTGTGGAAACACAAGCGTGCATACATTATATTCAATATACTTGAAGTTCACCAGACCAGTTGAGCTCACGACCTTATCATATGTACATACAATCTAGGAATGTAGGTCACCATGTGACTACAGGTCATCATGGACAATGTATGTCAAATGATGAAGATATTCCAAGGGGGTACACATACTACAGACAGGCTGCCACTGCCACGCCACGCCATACTATTCATCATGTTAACGAGGCATCTTGCATCCTCATGCCCTTCAGCACTTACTGTAGTCCAGACCCACACTGAATCCTATCTCCTTGACAAAGGCAGAGAGCAGATATGCCAATTTCAGGCAATAATGGTACTCTCATCAGAATCAGTGCAATGTCTGCCAATCATGACAATAGGACAATCAATAGGAATCAGATCAATGAGAACACAAGAACAGACATGTCCACAAATGATTTCAGTGGTCCTAGCTTGTCCTGGCATAGAGATTTATCACGGAAAATAAATTGGGAAAAATTATTATTTTGTTCAAAATTTGGAATGTTTAAAAGTTTGTACATACGTAACATAAAACAAAGCATTAAAACCTGTTCCTATTTGTTGGTCTTGTTATAAGCAGCGTTAGAAATTGGCACTAGTCCTGTAGTCCTTGCCAAACTGCCTAATAGTTAAGGTATCATAAGGACTAGTAGTAATTTGCCATTTTCAAGGGTTTTGCTATATGTTATCATCATAAGGTCTAGTGGACATGGTGGACTAAAACTGTTAATTTCTACCGCTGATAAGTGAATACAGGTTACTTCTACAAAGCTATAAAATCAGTTATTAGTTATATATATTAATACTAGGGCTAGGACGGGTAACTCGGGATCTCGGGCCCGGTGGGTACTGAGTAGAACATGGGTACCCACAGGACTACCCAGACCTGTGGTTAGTCACGTGATATATTTTTGAATGACAAAAATTATACAGAACTCTGTGTGGTGACACTACAAGTCACTAATGTTCGCATTTCTTTCTGACTATGCACCCATTCCTTCTGACTTTTATATGTTTGAATAAAGACAAAACTTCAGTGTGTGCATGACCAGATATTTTTATACGTGTATGTAAAAAGTTTTTGCCAGGGCTCCGGTCAAACTATTCCCAAATGGACACTATGTACCCAACTCTTGAGACAGGTGAGTAAGTATGGTTTTACGCCACTTTTAGCAATATTCCAGCAATATCACGGCGGGGGACACCAGAAATGGGCTTACACATTCTACCCGGGTCTTCGGCGTGACGAGCGAACGCTTTAACCACTAGGCTACCTGACCGCCCCCTTGAGACAGGTACGAGGGTTGGGTCGGGTAATACTGGGGTGGGTACCCGGGCAGTAAATTTGGACTTGTCCTAGCCCAATTAATACATTGTAACATGAATTTGGAAATGTTCACCGGTAGTTCCAACCTGGGAATTATTACTGACATTTGCTGCAGACTTAGGGCCATAAATCGGCCTCTGTGCAGGTGTAGATAAATCCCTGCTGACAGCAGTTTGTTATAGAATTTTTCTGTTCTAAACCATCAGGTCCATCTACCAGACTGATGCTCACATAACTGTCTCAGGGACCAAAGATAATATAGACTACTTTAAAAAAGTGAAAGAATACCTGATTCTTTCATATAACTATTGTAACTATGTCAAGCTATGCCAGATT